CCCCACTGTGGCCCGCACCTGCGCCCGGTACAGCCCCTTGGCGTTTTTGGAGCCCAAGTCCACCAGGATCTGCAGGGAGACGACAACACCGTGAGTCCTGGGGGAGCCAGGGGCACGGCGGGATGGTGATGGGCTGGGGGGCAGCTGCCAGGGCAGGGGGCTTGGAGTGGCTGGATGGGGCACTCACCTCCTGAAAGGTCATGGCCAGGTCCGTCTCGGGCACCCGCAGCACCCAGGAGTACAGCTCCCACACGGCACCCACCCGCACCACCGACTCGTTGAGGCCAGGGCAGGCTGGAGCCCCAAGGAAGGGTGGGAGAGAGATGGATGGGGGACACAGGGATGAACCACGGGGACACCACGCTGCCGCCCACCCCAGGGAGAAGCACCCATGCTCCGGGGACGCCAGGCAAGCAGGGGCAGAGGGGCCCTGTGGAGAAGGGTCTGAGCGATGACACTCAGCTCTGGGACCGGTGTGCAAAGCTGAGGCTGGGCTTGCCACTGTCCCCATGGTGGCATGTGGCATCCCTCAGTGGCCGGGGGCTGCGAGGCGCTTACCTCTGCCTGCATCTGCCTCCTCCTCTTCCTCCTCCACCCCCGGGAGCTCCGTGGGCACCAGCTCACGTTTCGCTCTCTGTGTGGACCCTTCCACCAAGAGACGTGTGAGAACCCCAGTGGGGACATGGCCGCTGGGCACTGCCCGGGCACAGAGCCGGCCAGCAGACGGACACCCCACTGTCCCATCGCTCCCAGCCCTCCCAGCTCCCGGTGCTCACGGCTCAGCACGGGGGTCCCTGCCAGCTCTCTGGGTGCCCACTGCGACTCTGTGGCTTCAAGAGGGGTGCCAAGCTCCAGCTCTGCCCGCAGCTGGGCGAGGAAGGCTTGTCCCTGTCCCACCAGCTCCTCCACCACCTCCTCGCCCTGCTGTAGCAAAGGGGGGACAGGGTGAGTGGTGGGGCACCCACGAGGCACTGCGGACATGGCCAGATGTGTGGTGGCAGAGCGCAGGGGATGGCTGGGCTAGTGTCAGACAGGGCATTGAGGACACGCGACGTCTTTATGGCTGTGTTGGGTCAGATCCCAAGCTGCAGGGTCGGACCCGTAGCTGGCCCTGCACTAGCTGGAATGGGAGCACTGGTTTCAGCTGGGGAGGATGAGATGCCCCCTCTGTGGTGGCAGAGTGGGAGATGCCACCTCTGTGGCCGCACAGGGGATGATGGGCCCAAGGGATGTCAGGAGAGGATATGGGGGAACCGCTGGGCTTTGGTCCCTGGTGGCACTGACACCAGAGGGGCAGGGGATCCCTCCAGGCCATCCCTCCCCACATACCTGCAAGAAGAGCCACATCTCCCCGAGATGGGGGGGTGCGGGGGGCCTGCCCCCTGCCATGGCCCTCAGCGCCTCCGCCCAGTCCTGCAGCCGGGGTCCCACAGCCCCGAAGAGCTCTGCGAAGGGGGGCAGCCCCCCAGCCCCCTGCCTGCAAGCACAGCGGGGCGAGCTCAGGCAGGCGCCCGGTGGCACCCATCCCCTTGGCAGTGCCACCCCCAACCCTGAGCATCCCCAGTGGGACCTGGCTGGCCCTGGGCACCCCGGGTGGCCGTGCCCACCTCCCTCTGGGTGTGCCCTGGTTGCAGGAAGAGCAAGACCCCCCTAATTTACACTGTCCCCAAAACACCCTGTCAGCGCCCACAGACACCTTGCCCACCTCCCCAAATCCTTCAGCCCCTCCCTTGTCCCACCACGCCTCACCTGGAGGGGGGTCTCCGGGGTCGCTCTGCTGTGGGGCTGGGCTGGCCCCCTGCCACAGCTGGGTCTGTGGGGACAAGACGAGGACAGGAGGGACAAAGGATAGGGGAGCCCCATGGGGATGCCAGGGCAGGCTGCTGGTGCCACCGGCATAGGGGGGACCGATGGGATCCCCAGTGGGCACCGGCTGGCCCAGCACGGGAGGGTACCTGGGTCATCCCTGCGGACGCGGGGTGGGAAGAGTTGCCCGTAGATCTTGCCCAGGAGCTGGGGCAGGGCACGGGTGAGGAAGGAGAAGTCAAACTGATTTCGGATGAAGTCCCCAGCCCGGCGCAGGAGATCCACCAAGGTCTGGGCGTAGGAGTGCAGCTCTGCGGGCGCAGCAGCAGAGCCATAGCCCTGGCACCACACCGGCCCCACGCTGCCAGAAACAGGGTCCCTCCCAATACCCTTGCCCTGGCACGACTCACCGCATCGTCTCGTTCTGGCACGGCAGGTCTCCTCGGCCAGGCGGGCACAGGCAGCCCGGCC